GACAAGGATTGCCTTCAGATAGCTTGAAAGCCCAGATGCAAGTTGTTAGAAATGAACCGAGATGCTCTAATAGCCTAAAAAGGAATGGTATTAATGTGTTATTATAAATGAAGGCATAATTGTGCCTTAATGGTGGTTGGATGTCGCAGGTTGACATAGGTTAAACAATTATCCAAAACCGCGGCCAACTAAAAAATAAAAATTTTCACAGTATGTAACTCAAATTCAAATAGGGCCTAACACTTTTTATTATTCGTGCAGCGAAATCAAATAATACATATGTCGTTTTTTAAACGACTCATTATATTAGAATGGCAATGTGTTTTTTTCAAAATCAGACAGCGAGCAGCAATCTTGTATCTTAAAAGTTTTGTAGACGTTTATCTTTGGTTGATGACCTTTTGACCTCCAGAATTGCGATTTTCGAATCGAGTCAGTCGAGACAACCCGAGTGGAGTTTCATGCAAATGTTTCGTACGGAAAAAAAATCGCATCCCGGCGACGTATCTAGGGGATGAAACACGCCCCCACCCAATCTCCCCTATTAAAAATGTTCAAAGCAAAAAAATCACGCTGAAGTAGATAAATATCACCTTATTTTGCAAGCTAGTGCCCCTCACTTAATCATCGACCCTCCTCCCCCCTCCCTTCACCACCGCTCCCCACTCCCTCATTTCAAGACTCTTAGATACGGCACATCACCATCATTATTCAAAAGCACCATCATTTCAAACGCCACCCTCTAATAAAAATCGTCGTTTCTGTTTCGCAAATATAGCAAAAATAGAACTAAACGGATTTATGCCGTAGGCATAATCTTATGATTATCATACAAATAATTTTACTTACATTCTTCACATTTGGATCCTGTGTAACACGGAGGGCATGAACATGAGTATTCTGAGCAGGTACCAGCCACTACGGTGCATGTACCGCCATTTAAACACATACTATCCTGACATGGATCAATCACTTTGAAAAAAATCAAATATGAGCAACGTAAAAGTGTGCATGTTAATCTGTATATTATTTTACTTACTATTTTACTTTATTTTACTTATTGAATAATGATACTACTGAAAATGATGAGGGTGATGATGATGACGGCGACGACGGGTGTTGATGAAGATGATGGTGCCGATGATAATCATTTTGACGACGATGTCCATGAAGATGATAATACGATAGAAATGATGATGATAATGATAATGACGATTGTGATGACAAAATCGACAATAAAAAAGTATTATGATAATAAATGATAACCTAAATATCGATGGTAATAATCGTCACTATCGTCATCAACATCAATCCACTATCACACCAGCATCAACAGATGGAAATACAGACAAATTCTACGAAAATATATGACTGGGCCTAGACCTCTAACGTCCAGTTACCTTGCTTAGCATTAATAGTTATATTTGTGTATTTTGGCGTAAACAGTGATACGTGGTCAAAACAACTAACGACAGTAAAGTCATTATTTTTATCCAAATTAAGGTGAAATATGGAAATCATAATGAGATGGAGACTCTTTGCTGATGATCTTTGTTGTTACAGTTTTTCAGACCGGTAGGTTTCGAATCCCCAACGTTAGAGTACTGGGTTACCTCATTGTGATTGTAGGCTTTGAAATAAGCATAATTATAATATAGATACCATAATCATTTTTTTTTATTATTTCTGTCTTATAAACATAGCAAACAGACATAAATTAGGCATGTAATACTAAGTTTATCATACCAGTACTAATTTCTTACTTACATTCTTCACACCTAGATCCCGTATAACATGGAAGGCAGGCACATGAGTGCTCTGAGCAAGTACCAGCCACTACACTGCAAGTGCCTCCATTTAAACACATACTACCATCACAAGGGTCAATCACTTTAAGAATAAAAACCAACATGAGATTAAATAACAACAGTTGAATAATATGTGATATGGTAATGGTTTTCTTCGTGTTGATGTATTATGTTGATTAAATTTCTAATACGCAATTATTGGAGCTCCGCATAGTGCACTATAGGAAAATTATTATACGAAGGTTAGATTTTATGCTTGAAAAAAATTCCTGAGGGCCTTAATATTGAATTTGAAGGAACTTTCTTCGGGATCTAATTACCCTTGTTTAACGGAAGTAATTTTCAATTACAGTTCAATTTTTATCGCGGTGCAGTGCGGTGATGAAAAATTAGGTTTTTTTTGCACACGAACCTAAAAAAAAAAACCAAGCCAAGCGTCCACTATTGAAAAATTATTGGACTGTGGGGGATAGGCAAATAACATTAGGTTTATAGTGATGACGTCACGGTTGACTTATAATAATAATATTAATAATAATAATAATAACAATAATAATAATAATAATAATAATTATTATTATTATTATTATGATAATGATGATAATGGTAGGACTCTAATATAAATGGATTTGATGAAAATAGTAATGATGATTTTAATAATCATAATCATGATGATGACAATGACAACGACAATGCTGAATGTTGATGATGATGATGATGATGATGATGATGATGATGATGATGATGGTGATAATTATTATGACGTCAATATTGGTGGACGCTGATAAAGTGTTCATAATACAAATAATACGATTGATAGATAAATTCGTGCTGGATTTAATATAGGCCTACTGAATCATTAATTATTGACTGAATAAATTGTCGCATTCGCTTGACAGGATTAATTGGCTTTAATAATTTCATTTTTTTTTTTTATGTCAAAAATTATTGTATTGCTCCGCCGGGCACTCACTGCGTTGTATGACGATCTGTGAGCGCTAAACCCATATCGTAACTTGAACTGAGCATAAACGTATCCAAGGTCAAATAAAGCTATGTTATGTGTATGGTGGCAGTCTGAACTTTTCGTCATTGAAAACGATCCGTTGCGGGCGCGTTGTGGCGTTGCGTTCTCCATAGAATCGCATAGGCCAGCGACCGTCGAGCGTAGTAAATGCCCGGCCTTACACGTGAAATTAATATTACTGTATATACTAAAACTAATACAAATACAAATAAATACAAAAAAAAAAAATTAAAAAAAATGCAAATAAATACCGATAAAAATAATGTAAAATGTTGTTGATGGTATTTACCTGGTGTGATATCTGGTATTTGTGTGTGCCAGGCATGTGTTACATGTTGGGCTATGTGAGCCTTGTATTCAAATTTTGAATAAAATGTGCTTGATACTAAAAACAAAAAACAAAAACAAAAAAACTAATACAAGTAACTTACACGTTTGGCAGAGGTCTCCGGTGTAGCAAGGCGGACAGAGACAGGTTGCCGCTGAACACAATCCAATCATCTGGCACAATCCGCCATTTTGACAAAATATGTCTCCGCAAGAAGTCACAGCCAATGCTATAATCAAACACAAAATGCTTTGCAAGTCACCAGCAGTTCGTAAATTTCAACGTTAATATCGTTTTGTGTGGGCTTATACCTTTTAACCTCTGAGTCTCACTAAAAAATCTCTTTTAAGAAATGTTTGTCCCTTCTGTTTTCCCCCACCATTGTGACAAACTATTGCTCCGCAAGAAATCACAACCCACGCTATATGGAATAAAGCAAATTATATTTTGCAAGTCCCCATCAGCAAGTAATAGTTCAACGTCACTCATGTGTTACGGTAAAAGCTCGAATAGAAGCCATGTGTGCTTAATCTCGAGAAGAAGCCCATCTCGAAATGAAGCCCCCTTCTTTTGTTTACAAAAGTAATCTCAAAAAGAAGCCCATCCAAATGTTCTAAAAAACAGAAGCCCAGGGCTTCCATTAGAGGTTTTACGGTATGTTATGTTATATTGTAATTATGATTATGTTATGTGTTACATAATTATGCTTGTATGGGAATGTTTGCTCCCTAGGGTCAAAGACAAGCTCTTGTGTGAGCTTACCATTTTTACCTCGCTGAAAATAGTTTTTTTTTTTTAATTATAATGGATTTTCCGGGAAACAATAACAACCTGACAATCAGAACAGATCAAGGAATACACGCTTGTCCAATGAACACACATGTTGTCCCAAACGCAAGTGTTAGCGTACGTTAACGCTGTCAATTTATATGACCTTAGAAACAGTATCCAAGGGGAGGGGCTTATGGTAAACGTCCATCATTCATCTACGCTTTAATGAATATAAGGTCCTAAAAGAGTTTTTACCTATTTCGCAGTTAGTTCCAGTGAAGCACGAAGGACAGGTGCAGCTGTAACTATTGCAATCACCAGCAACATTCTGACAATTACCACCATTTAAACACGGGTTGGATGTCGCACACGTAGTAGTGGCTAAAATATATGTTAATATAATCAGTAAAACTATTAGTAATTTGTATCTTTGTGCTTGACAAACTAAAGTTATATTCAGTTCGTAGAAACACTCTACTACGGAAGCTTATAGTGACCTTCCAGATGTTCAGATGACGAGATCCAGGATCTTGTCATCTGATCATTTTTTCTAAATGATGTATACATAACGAGATCCAGGATCTCGTCATCTAATCATCTCTTCTAAACTAAAGGATGTACACATGACGAGATACAGGATCTCGTCATCTGACCATCTCTTCTAAAGGATGTATACATGACGAGATGCAGGATCTTGTCATCTGATCATCTCTTCTAAAGGATGTACACATAACGAGATCCAAGATCTCGTCATCTAATCATCTCTTCTAAAGGATGTACACATGACGAGATACAGGATCTCGTCATCTGACCATCTCTTCTAAAGGATGTATACATGACGAGATCCAGGATCTTGTCATCTGTTCATCTCTTCTAAAGGATGTACACATGACTAGATCCATGATTTCAACATGTCTACATCTTGTAGAATAGATAATCAGATGACGAGATCCTGGATCTTGTCATCTGACCATCTATTCTACAGGATGTAGACATGACGAGATCCAGTATCTCGTCAACTGATCATCTCTTCTAAGGGATGTACACAAGACGAGATCCGGGATCTCGTCATCTAATAATTTCTTCTAAAGGATGTACACATGACAAGATTCATGATTTCGTAATATAATCATCTCTTCTAAAGGATGCAGACATGACGATATCCATCCATAGTTGGATTTCTTCTAATTTCTCATGGTGACCCAGATTAAAAGGTAGCTAAGATGAACCCCCTACTCCATAATATTACGAACAAGAGCCTTGTAAATTTTGGGAATTATTTGTAGGGTTCTTGCATTGTTCAATACCGATAAATCAAAGAATGCAGGAAGCATTTATTTAAAACATAAACATGAATATTCCAAATTAATTCATTATTAAAAGTTACACCAAGATATTTTACATGATCAACTCTTGAAATTGCAACATCTCCAATAAAAATATGTAATAGCATTGTGTTCATGTTAGATCTTTAAAGAAAGAGTATGCAACATTTATTTAAGTTAAGGGGAAGTGTTGAGGGAAGTATACTTTTTGTAAGCACACTCGCTAAGGGATCCGGTAGTCCTGTAGATGATAGTGTTGCTTGTAAACAATAAAATTGCGACCTGTGTTCTATCTTATCCTTACACCTAACATTTGAGCTGCCACCTTTATCAATTGATAACAGAGAGCTTTCGATTTCTGCGACGACGCGACGCTCGAACGGAATCACTCATGCGTGACTGTCCTACCTGGCGTCGTCGTCCTACGTTCTCTGCATACGTAGGTATTTGGCCAAATTGCGTTCCAGAATCTACTCGACAAAGCGACCGTAACGTTCTCGCATTCGCAGATAACTTTTAGTGAGTCATTACGTTCTACGTCCTTCCGTCGTCGTGCAATCTAAATCTCGTTTTGTATTGCTACTTAACAGAATATTCCTAAATGATAGAACTTTTCAGAGTGTAAACTAAACTTAACTGCCAATCAATATACTGTATATTAATAATGATTGCACTTAGGAGTTCGTATTTATGTCGTACATTATGCTCCTTACACATTAAATTAATATATCGTACTAAAACAAATGTAAATGTCTTACACGTCTGACAAAGGTTTCCGGTGTAGCAAAGCGGACAGACACAGATTGCTTCTGAACACGTTCCAATCATCTGGCACAATCCGCCATTTTGACAAACTATGTCTCCGCAAGAAGTCACAGCCAATGCTATATAGAATCAAACACAAAATGCTATTTTGCAAGTCACCATCAGTTCGTAACATTCAACGTTATTAATGTATTGTGTGGGCTTACGCCCCTTTAACCTCTGGGACTCACTAAAAATACTTTAAGAAATTTGTCCATTCTGTGTGCAGATTTTTATATTTTTTTTTCATCTTATTGCATATAATTTTTATATTTTTTAATACGGTTTTATATATTACAAATTGATCATAATATAGCCTAATAATGACCCACTCAAAGGAAATTTTATATTTTAAATTTTATTTTTATACGTGTCAAAAATATATTAGCGATCCTAATTTAAGGAGTAAAGAAAAAAAATTGAAACAAAATATTTGATGTACCGTCTTGGCAGAATGATCCGGTGTAACACGAAGTACAAACACAACTGAAGCTGTTGCACTGGTTTGGGTCATTCACACAAATACCACCATTTAGGCACAGTGTCTGTGATACGGAGCACGGTGAAAGGGCTAAATGTGACAAAATATATAACACAAATGTTATGCATAAAATAATTTGGTGTCATGAAATTTGAAATTGAGTACGATTTCACTCTATGGTCAATGCTTATCATTATTAGTAGTAATATTATCATCACCATAATAATCAATATTATTTTGTGTAAATATAAACAAATGCGTTGGATGAAACACTGATCGTTTAAATCATATGGATGTGGACAAACTGGAACTGGCGGAGGCCTAATGTCATAACGAAAATTGCAGACTAAATCTTTTTGTTATGGTTCATTACAAAGTAATACAATACTTCATCAAATATCCAAGATCATCTCAATTAATCAATTCATCATTAATCACGCACGCTCCTACAATGAGTAGCTTTCGATTTTCGAGACGACCTTAACGTAGAACGGGTTCACTCATCCATTGCCGTTATGCTTTTTTTTGCACAACGTAGATTAGGGTCAAACTGCCGTGTCATAGACGACAACCAGAACTTCATTACGTTACAGATCTTCTTGGGCGGATGCAGAGGGTCCGGTGCAGAAGGTGCGATCGCACCCCCTAAAATGTATTAAGAAAAATAATTGTTGCATTGTATTGTTGATAAGAATTACCGTTAAGATTTTAAAGGTATGAGAGTGCAATTCCCAGGCACCACAGGTCCTTATTCTCAAAATGTTCGAACTTCAGCCCCAACAATGGTGGGGCTCAATCGAAATCTATATAGTATTTACATTATTACGGTTATTACCTGCCTCGCAGTTCGTTCCAGTATAGCATGTAGGACAGACGCACGTGTAACTACTGCAATCACCAGCAATATTCTGACAATTACCGCCATTTAAACACGGGTTGGAAGTCGCACATATAGTAGTGGCTAGACGTTAAAATATACGTTATTATAAAAATACTGGTCATATTCGTGTCATGATAAACGAAATGTTATTTTTATTACATGTTAAAAAGTCTACGCTCTAAAATACAGGTGTTTGTGGACATATCGAAGTTGCTACTATTGTTCTTCATCTCTTTTTCTTCCAAATTTCAGCGACCATTTTCATCATTTTTAAAATCTACACTTTCCTTGTCCTGTCGAACTGTGCTTCCAAGTTGTTGCCAGTTTTGAAAACTTACTAAACCTCTTTTTGTATTGCCCACATAAACTGAAAATGCCCCTAAAAACAATGGACTTTTCCAGTGGGGTCTATCAAACTTTACGACTGACCAATCATATGTTGTTTAATATTTGGTAATACACGCATGCTCTGCAAAGAACTTTACTTGCGAACAAGGTCTTCCCCATCATCTATATTAATAACATTATACATAAATGAAACGAATACGTACGTATGGTGCAGTAGTCTCCAGTAAAACAACTCGAACAAACACACGAATAATCCGAACATTGTGAATTAACTACGCATGCTCCATTGTTTTGACACTGGTGATTACTACAAGGGCTAGGAACCGCTGAAAAAATAACCAAAATGAATTATGAATTTCTGAATAAAGCATTTTATGAAACATGAAATTTTCCGTGGAATGTGCCACCAAGGAACAGTTAAATTACATTAATTAATTACAGTACAACTGTTCCCTGGTGATGGTCTTCACCATCTGTGGCTGTCTTTAGGTCTAACTTAAAGACTCACCTCTTTAATCAATAGTCTTCATTTTTTATTCCTTGTTATTTTTTTAAATGTTGCATTATTTACTTATGATTTTGAACTTTGCTACTGCTTCTTTTGATTTGTTTATTTGAATGCGCTTGGGTTAAGCATTGATTATAGCTAACTGTGGGCTGTGGTGCTTGAGTATGTGGGGTACAGTGCCCCGTACCGCTGCTACCACCTGCTACTACTGCTAAGGTTACCGCTACTGAGGATACTGCTACTGCTACTACTACTTCTACTACTACTATACGACCAGTGATTATAAAAAAAATATAAGGCGCACAACCTGTCTCGCAGTTGTTTCCAATAAAGCAGGACGGGCATGCACATGTATAACTACGGCAGTTTACAGCATCAGGCTGACAAAAACCTCCATTTAAACATTGGTTTGTCGAGCATACGTTGATTGCTACAACAAAAAGGAGGAAATTGTATATCATTTTATGAATTTTCAATATAATTTTTTAAAATTACTTTGTTGTTATTAGTATTATGGTAAATCATATGTCCAATTATGAAGATAAAATTGTATAGGATTGCATTTAGGATTAGATTTTTTTTCCCGCTGTGAACATCAATAGTAACCCATGAAAGTCCGAAGAAGACTTTTGTTGAGTGGGGTCGTTCTGGGAGGTGATGGGGCACTATACCAGGAGCAAATCCCCTACTCTCCAAAGAGTGTACAGTACTGCGTTCATTAACGTGCACGTGGGTCATATTGCACACGGGACCAACGACTTAAACGTCTCATATGAAAGGTAGTGCGCTATTGAAACTGTTGAAAGCCCTCCAACTGAAACACAAGAGGAGCAGCGATAAGAGTAGAAGCGGGGATGGATATCCCGAATGAGCTGTTTATAGGTCTATTGTCAAAAATAGTTGCCTTAGATGGCAATATACTAACGTGATTCGCAGTCTACTCCATGGAAACAAGTTAAACAAATGCATGTACGAAGCGAGCACGACGTGCCATCGTAGCACTGTCCTCCATTTTGGCATGGATTTGTAAAACACGCGGCTAAGGCTGTAAAGTAAAAATAGTC